ACCAAACAACTGTGAATGAAAGTCGATTGCAACATTCAAACATCAGTGACACCCTGCAAAAGCAAATCACGGAAAACAATGTACAGCAGAAATTTATGAAGGTTGCAATGAAACTGGTATCACATGTTTCCTGCATGATTGTTGCCAAGCTCCTCAATGAGCAGTTCAACAAACAAGCCAAGAACTTTTGAAATTGATCAGTCAAAAAGGAAAAAACCACAACACATCGGCACTTCCCAAATGAAAGCCTGAGGTGATCGGCCAACTGTTTTTGGACACTCACAACAGAGGCATCAGCTGTCTTTCAAACGGAAACATTGTCTGCATTTTGCAGCGTCAAATCGCACCGCACCTTCGTGCCTGCTAAAGCTGTCCGTGATCCTTCTGCCGCACAGCAAGACTCTCACATAACTTTCATGTGACAAGTGAAACATCTTCGAGTTGTGATTCTTCCAAAGTGTCTTGTCTGAAGGAAGTGAAACTTCATAATGACCGACAACTGGGCCCCAAGCTTGCTCTTCGGTTTCCGAGGAGTCACTGGAGTCTGTCGTGACATGGCCTTCCTCTTCCATGTCTTCCGACACAGGTTCATGAGACTGCACTGCATCTTGCAAGACAGAAGAGGTTTCCATTTGTTTCTGATGACCATCACCTGCATGCTCAGGCTCAGACCGACCAGCTGCAGACAAAAGTCCTGCACCTTCTGCGCCAATAACGGCCTGCTCAATAGGCCCCACACCTGGTTTCAACCTGCCGCTTCTCGTGTTGTCAGGCTCAAAGATTCCTTCTCGAATCTCTCTCAACACTTGTGCAAGTATTGCCAAAGGTCTAGCTGCTGCATCTCTGCTGTAAACAAGTGCAATGCGCATCTTATTTGAGTGATAACCGAGGGTCAGACGGTCTTCAACTGAAACTCCACGCTTTGCCAGAAAGGAAAGACATGTGCACTTGCAAGAGTGACTGGTCAACTTGGTTTCAGACGACACTAGATCTCCTAAGAGGTGCCTGATCCAAAGCTTGGCCTCCTGCGTCGAGATTGGCCTCTTCGTTGGTTTCAAATTCCTGTCAGGAGCCGGCATCAAAGGGAAAAAACCCAGGTCAACTATCCGCAACCCTTCTCTAGCTTGCAGCCACTGTAAAGCCCAGTTGTCCGTAGTGACTCCATGTGCTGGTGCTGAAATAGGCAAAAACATGTGACGCAAGTGGAAAGCTCTTGCAGTTTTGTGCACAGCTGTTTGCAACTCAATTGACTGAAGCTCCCCACAGTCGTCCCTATCTGGAACGATCTCCGATGCGTGTTGAGCGTCCGCCCATCTTGAACGTCCATATATGCAAAACAGTAACATCCCTGCCATTGCTTTGTCCCACAGTTCATCCCCATCACGAAGCACATCATGAAGTCGCTGTAACTGTTTCACAGTAAAAGGAGCAGCTTGCTTAGGTCCACACAGAGTCCTCTGAGATGCGGCCCCCAGACATCGACGGCTGGTCACTATTGACTGTAAAACATCCAGACCCAAAACATGCCGTGAAAACACTGCAGCTTCGAAGAATGCCTTTAACCTGGACGGTGGTGCCATCTTACTTGCCTCTGCTTTCAAGAAACTGTAAAAAGCCTCTTCAGTACAAGGAAAATTCAAGCCCACTGCACGAAGTCCAGAACAAATGCCATTCAAACTGTTTGCACGTTTGATCAGCGTCTGAGGAGCCTTATTGTAAAAAACGTCCACCAGAATCTGAGCTTTTTCAGTGAAAGTGTTTTTCCCCTGAATAGCTTGCAAAAGTAAAGAGTCCTCTGCAGTCCACTGATCAAGCAAGGCGACCCACCGTCTGATGCTTGTTTCCCAGAGTGCATCTCGTTCTTCTTGCCAACTGCGCTCTGGCACATCTTTTATATGCTGTAGAAACGAAGTGATCAAAGGAAAAGTTTTCTGTGCAACACGCCTGTCAACTTCCACATCCTCTGAGCTCTTGGCCACATGCACTGGCGGTGCAGACATAGGTCTTTTAAAACCCCTAGATAACTGCTCCATCACTGTAACTTCTGGGTTCAAAAACTGATCCCAAAAATCTGTCTCCCAGGGCATCTTGTAATCCTCTGACCGAAGACTGTGCCACGCTGAACTCACCACAGCATCCACGTTGTATGACTGCTGCAATCCAACACCTGAAAAGTCAGAAGGAAAAGGTAGATCCCCTGAAAAATCTGTAGGCAGAAAAGAAGGTTCATAAGTCAATGACTGAACGTCCTGTTCTGAAGTCCCAATGAAGTCCACGTTGTCCAAGTTCCCAAAAATATCTTGGGTCTCCAGTCTTTCGGCAACGGCCGCAGGCTGAGTCTCCAGACATCCAGTCCCAACATCCATGGCTTCAACTCTCTACCCCCATGCTAAATCTCGCACATCAAATGTGCAAGTCAGAAACCCTCACCTCCCTCCCTAATCTTGAGGCGGGCGCGGAAACACATATTGTTTTACCCCCTCAAAGATTTGTGTTTGGTTTCCAGAAAGTTTTGTTTGACAAAACAGTCTTAGAAATAAATTCAGAGCAAACAAAATTTGTTTGATTCTTTTCTTCAAAACGACAACCTCTGTTTAAACAAAGGACGATCGTTCAGGCGACTTGCCAGGTTGAAGAAAACACAGAACAAAGTCAGGTGTGGGTATCACAGCTTAATTTTTTCCAACACAAAAATTTTTCCTTTTGTTCTCAAATAAAGGAGTCATCATCGCTTTGCAATGAGTTACCCCAAAATGACATTGAAAAATTGCAAATGTAAAAGCGTCAAACTCTTTCACCAGCTGTCTTGTTTCGGCCAATTGCCACACACTTGCTGGATGCTCTCCCAAATTGGTGACACCTAAGTCTTCGGGATGCTCGAAAAGAAAATCAGTTGCGTTGGTGATGCACTTGTGAATAGTTTTGAAGCATTGATTCACGAGAAAATTGTGGTCTTGAATCAAGTCCCAATTGCTTCCAGTCAGCCAAGGGAAGCCCCATGGATGCATTACGTTCCTCAAGGGGGGCGGCCCAGGGGCCCCCAAAGCGCGGCAGCGTGCTCTTGAGAAGGTATTGCAAGGTGGTGTGAGGATCACCACATCCCAAAATTTATTTTCAATCTCATTCCAAATTTGTTCCCAGAGAGACATTTGCAACAAATCGTCAGCTTCTGAACGTTCGATGTCCACTTCCTTTATTGACAGGTCAAAACCGAGAGTGCCACACTGTACATGCAAAAAATGATTGATGTCAGCTTTCCGCTGTTGGCCGCAAAACAAATACAGCACACGGAGTTTACGCTGACATGGATGCTGCTGTGGCTCCGCCTGTCACTCAGGCTTCTTACCTGAGCTTGACATTTTATGGTGTTCACGTGCTGCATGGTCACCGTAGCAACCTTTGACTCTGCACACATGTACTCTTCCGCACTTTCCTGCACAGCCTTGGCTGCTGTATGCGAAGCATATGTCGCGGCCATCAGGGGTTTGCGACACCAGGCTTAAATCTCCATGTTTGCCCTTGTTGTAGGATTTCCCCCCTTTGTTGCCGGACTTTCCAAACTGCTTACCCTTTCCTTTTCCTTTGCCCTTGTAATTGCCCTCTTGGTGGCCCTTTGAATTGTACTTTGCAAATTTCTGTGGTGTCTCCGTCGTGGTCAGGGCTAAAGGTGTAGTGAAGAAGGCTTCTTTCAGGTCTGGGTCCTTCGTCACACGTGTCAGAGCTTCAGCCAAAGTGGCCTCTGCACGATTCACCAGTTTCATCGCTTCTCTGCGCAGTCTATGCTCATATTGCAGCACCAATGCCCAGTTGGGCTTGACTGCCTGTTGACCATTGTCCACTGGGACCTTGATTGCGTTGACCCGGTCCCCAAGAATAAAATCGACAAACTTGAGGAAATGTTCCATCTTCAATCCCGCCAGCCAGTGCTTTGCCTTAAACTTCGATGCCATACACAGCCAAGTGACTGCTTCCAACTTCATTGCTTGTCGGTACTCTTCTGTGTTCGAAGGAAGTGAACCCTTCGTTTTCGTCTTAACCACTCGCACATGGCCTGATGTGTCCAGTGAAGTCTGCAGGGAGGCTGTGTTCTTGTGGGCTTTGCTTGTGATTTCATCCAAGGAAGCTGCTGTAACTTCTCCATTTTCACACTCTTCAACCTTCAAGGCCAAATATTCACTGGAAGGCACATCGTGCTCTGAGAGAGTTCCCAGAGTAGTTTCGACCGCACGAAGCATAGCCAACCTTTCGCTATGTTGAAGAGATCTCGGTAATCCCATCACCTTGCTTTCGGCCTGAAGTTCATTTTCTTTTTCATAGAGTTGTCTCCCTGCCGTCCATGCTGAAATGATTCTGGCGACTTCTGCTCTCTGTCCAGCTCCTTGTGCTGCATCAAGCTGATAGTCTGTTTTGAGTGCTTCTCGAAGCTCTGTTGAATCTCGGCCAGTGCCACAAACACCCGCAGATTTTTGTAGTGCTGCCCCAACCTATGTTGAAGATCTAAACTCACTTCTGAGTCGTCCCAGATATACTGAAGGTCAGCAGTGACATTCTTCTGCAGGTATTCGCGTCTCTGAACATCATCGAGAGCCATTGCCGCGTTTGCGGGACAACTGGTCAAAAACCCACCGGCCAAGTGAATGCAGCATTGCAAAAAACCAAACAGAGTGAAAGCTTTCATTGCCAAAAAATCTCAAAAGAGCCAGGTGAACAACAGCCAAGTCGATGAACACTGAGTTGAAAACCAATGCAAAGAACTGACACCGACAGATGCCTAAGGTTGTGGCCCTGAATGAGCCGCTCAAAATGAGCCGTGCTGCGGATGATCTCCCAGCTGGTTTCTGAAACTGAATGAGGCTGAATCTCAACTTGGCTGATGTTGAGAAACTTCGCTGAGTCTGAAACTGAAAAGGCAACATCCCTACCACTGAAGCTAAATAACATGAAATTCAACTGAATGTTTGACTCTCCAACCAAAGCGGCGTCAGCAATTCCTTTTATGTCTAATCGTTTGCATTGTCTGCCTCTTCACCCACCTCTGTGGAGGATGAATCTCCAGAGGTACTGCTCGAATCTGAATTGGCTCCGCCCTGATCAACCTTCAGACGGCGCTTGCAAATGGCACACATTGCATCAAATGTTTCTTCATCCAATCTTTCCACATCATATGTCTCCAAACATCGTTGTGTCCTGACTGGGCACTTGAAGTAGGCATGCAAACGCCTCACTCCTGTCCTTCTGGAAACGGTCACAAAATACTTTGCCTGTGAACCTTGTGGCTGAAGGGCCTGAAAATGGTCTTCTGAGGCCACTGGCAAATCTACATCTGGCTCCTCAGCTCCCGACTCACCTTCATCGAAAGGTCCCTGCTGCAAGTCCCGATGGAGCTGCTGGGCATGACGCCGGCGGATGCGATGGCCCACCGTGTTGTGTTCATCTGAGAATTTTGCCAATTCATCCAACAATTCTGACTCATCAATACAAGCAGTCCCATCGACCAATGAGCTCACGACCTGGTGTTGAACCTCTTCGACGACTTGACGCGCCGTATGAATGTAGGCATTACTGCCCGACTTCCCAATTGACCACCTTCTTAGAAAATCTCTCCTCTCTTTGCTGATGTTTAAGGCCAGGGCCGCTTGGTTCAGGAAATGGCGTGGGCTGTGACCTGTCCAGAAAAGTAAAACATCACCTGGCGCCAGGAGCATGCTCATGATCGCACGCCAATGACCATCTTGGAACCTCGGGGTACCAAGCCTGCCCAAAACGATACGAATTGAGTTGGACAAACTCGGAGGTTCTACAATCTTCGGCACAAAACCATCGAAGGCAGCATTTGGGGCAGGAACCAAGTAATCCCTTTTGTATTGAAAACTCTCATGTGAGGTAAGTTCCAAACCAGTCCCAAGCCAGTCGTAGCCACTCAAGGTAACATCTCGCCTCACAAAGACCGCTACCTGTCCATGAAGTTTGCCCGGACCTGTTGTTTTTGTACGACTCAACCTGCAGCTGAATCCCCTTTTTGACAACTTCATGGTTTCTGGCAACATGTTTTGTACATCGTCCAATCTCATTGCAGTCCAACATGCAATCAAAGCCACCCATGCAATGAATCGAAAATAAAGCTCTTGTTCCAAGTCCAAAACGAAAATCTCCAAGGAAAGCAACATGGCAGTTGTGTACGGCTTTGCACTCCTAGGTGGCCTAGACTCAAGCTCTAGCTCCAACTTCCAGCTCGCCACATGGCCCAACCAAACTGGGTCATTTGACAACCTCTTGTCCTCTGGCACCTTCCCCAGTTGCTCCAAAATTGTGAACGACGCATGAAACTCACTGACACAAGAAAAACTGCAGCCATCTTGAATCTTCTCTTCCACATATGCAATCAAGGGTGTTAAGGTCTTAGGCCAGACCGTACCTGACAGAGCCAAAAGCCAATCTCGGACTTGTTCCATGAACGCAGGCGATTTCGAAGCGTCTTTGACCGCCTCGATCCAAAGATTCTTATCCAAGCCTTCCCAGGGTCCTGGAGCATCTCCACTTGGAAAACAATAGGAAGGCATGCCTCTTTCAATATCTCTGCTAATTGGAGCGCATACACATTGCGTTGCTCACGTTCGACATCTGCCCTCTGCGTTCCACTAGTCTCTCTCTTTCTCTTCAAACGACGTTTGGCAATGTCCAAAATGTAAGCAGGATTCTCTCTCACAATGTCTTCAAACTCTTCTTGCAAACTGCGTCCAAAATGCTCACCAGGATGCCTAATGAATTCAAAACTGAGGTTGCATCGACGTGTCTGTCCACGTTTTGAACGGCTTTGCATGCTGTCCCTCCAAGACATGAGGCGCCTGACCCCTTCTGCCGCCAAGTCTGCACCTCCCTCACTACCAAAAACCTCTCTAACGAGACTGTAGGCATCCTCTTCATTTTCAAACGCATGAAAGAAAATCCGTGGCTCTTTGTAATGCTTTACCAGGTGTTCAGTAAAACGAGGTCCAAGAGCATGAAGCTCAGTCCAGTCCATAGGCTGCCAACTTGCGTCCCGTTTGGGATAGTTCAGCGCCCCCTACATAACCCAAATTTTCTGAGCCAGATTCTCAGACAACGTTGGGATGAAACGAAGTGCAAACTTGAAATCACGAAAACATCACATCAACTCTGAGAAAAAACGAATAAAACAGTGCCAAACAAACTGACGTAAATTCCTCCAAAAAAGGAGGCAAAATAACCAAGCGCCAAAGTCAGTCGAGGGTCTCAAGAAATCCATGCCCAGAAACCCAAGGACGCGAGGAGAGAGAAGCGACGCGGGCGCGAGCGAACCAGCAAGGGAGAAAAACCCCAGGAGACGAAGACAGGAGACAAGAAGGAGGTGAGGCAAACCCCACAGCCAGCAACCCCGACCCGGGCAGTGCAGCGGGGCAAAGCCACAGCAAGGCAAGAGCCACCAACAACCCCACCACCAGCCCAGGCACGAGTGCCACCGGAACAGTCAACTAGTTAAACCTAGCAAGCACGTTCGAAGCCACCTTAAGGTACCTTAAGGGAGCTTCGAAGGCTTCGAAGGCACCTTAAGGGGGCTTCCAAGAATTCGTCCAAGCCCGCTTAAGATACCTTCGAAGTCTTCGGCGAAGACCCTTTAAGGTACCTTCGTCGAAGCCCCCTTAAGATACCTTCGAAGGCTTCGAAGCCCCCTTAAGATACCTTCGAAGCCTTCGAAGCCCGCTTAAGGTACCTTAAGGCCCCCTTAAGGTAGCTTAAGGGCTTCGGTTCCTCGTTCATCCCCCCCTGTGAAAACACGAGAGCGGCGTGGCAGCTCTTTTTCACAGCTCGGACTTGAGCCAAACCGCACAGGTTTGACAGCTCAGTCACTCTTCTTCTTAGAAGAGTCGTGCAGAGTAAAACGCAGTGACACTCAAACGTCTTTAAACTTCTCAAACTACTTCAAAAGAGTTCTCAAGCTTCAAAAACGTTCTTCCAGCTTCTCCAAATAAAACGTCTTCAGCTCAAACTCACAAATAACCTACAAAACTCCTACCAAATAAGTTCACAACATCAAGTTCCTAAGACATGGGTCAAACAACATCCAAAAACACCAAAAACCACAAAAACAAACGAAAATCCATCTCCAAGCTCTTCCATGCACAAACTGGTTCCATTTGGTTCCAAATTGGTTCCTACCTGGTTCCTATAGGTTCCTATGGGTTCTATAGTTCACAGATCGGTTCCTACAAACTTAAAATGGTTACCTAACTGTTCACATGCACATGCATTGTTCCAAGATAGGTTTAAAGATGTTCAAGTAGGTTCAAGGTGGTTCAGTACACTGTACATCCTCTCACCAAACTTTCACACCCCTTCTTGGACAGTAGTGCTGTACACCGAAGTACCTATAGACTACCATACCGTTTGTAAGGCAACTAAGTTCTGAACCCACACAACTAAGATCCAGACATCACCAACTAAGATCCATGCTCATCAACTAAGCTAGGAACTAGCGCACAGAAAACTCGAAGTGTTCCTGTGTTTTAATGGTGCCCTCAGATAGATGGATGTTTTATGAGAAACGTGTCTCTTTGGCTCCATCTTGTGATCATCATAGGGCAGTGGCAGCGGTGCAAAAGAGACCAACAAACCATATCCCATAACCATCTTTCTGAGTAACCCACAAAGTGGAACTGAGTTCACAACTTCTGCACAAAGTTTTGTTTGAAAACGTTTGTCATTTGGAAACCTTGGTATTTGAAACTGTCTCACGTTTGTCATCATCATCTCATCTAAGTAAGGGGAAACTGGTGCCAAGGTCTGCCCTCTGGGTATGGCCTTGGTGTCCAGTTCTTTTTGGGTATTGGGATAGACCCCAACGGGTACCAAGTGTCCAGGTCTCTGACTGATGGCCTTGGTAACTCTAACCCCTCAAACTAGGATCATTCAACCATAATCCAAAACAAACTGAAACATGTTTTTCAAACCCGTTTTTCCAAATGCTTGGCAACGGTTTCACGTCTCTTGGAACCTTGGCTTCTAAACCCTGTAACTTGGCAGTTGCAGACCTCTACAACTTCCTTGGTGATCAGCCCAACTTTGTATGGCAAAGTCTTGGTAGCTGAGCTGAATGCATTGAGCGCTGAACAGAGGCAGCAGTGCTAAGCATTCCACAGAGTATCCAAGAGTCCTAAAACTCTGGATGGGCTTTGCTAAGCGCTGAACATCCAGTTATGGAGACCCTCCCAAATCCAACATGTTGTGCACTGGGGTTCAAACCCTTCAGAAGATAAAGCCAAACCAACAGTGACCAACGATCCATGGAGAAGGTCCACAACAGGAAACCCACTGCAACGCACAAGGACAGAACGTTCAGGAAGAGTCCAAAAACAGTTCAAGTTCAAGACAACTCCAATCAAGTTCCAAGAACATGCAACAAACAAACATGTTATGTTATGATCCTCAGCTGCAGGGGTATTTCATATGGCATTGCCATCTTTCTCATGACCCCTTGGCAGCTACATCATTGGATCATACAAGTACCTTAGTACAGAACAACGAACAACAACAAACGACAGAGAATTTGCAAAAACCGTCCAATGAGTCCACAAGTGTCCAACTAGTTACAACTGACATCAAAACAGATAACAGCAGTTAAACCTGATGACATCAAACTGCAACACAGTGACATGAACATCCATGCAAACTGCAAAACTGGACATCTGCAAAACCCTATCCTACTCCTAACGGCTCCAGCTTACTAGACGGCTCCAGCTCTGTACAAGGATTGCTGTCAAGAAAACGAAATGAAAACTGCAAACCAAAGTACATGAAAGTGCAACTGCAAACATCGACAGTGAATCCACTCCCATGCAACTGATTGCACAGCAGATCCCATCTCTCCTTTTTCAAAGCTCATCGAACACTGATGCTGCTTGGAATGAACCTCGAGCTCATAGAGCTATTCTTTCACAAGCTGCCAGGCAAGTGCTGAGCTTTACTTTGAAATCCAAAATCTCAAAATGATCTATGTGACCATGCTACAGGGAAGGACTCTCAGGCTCATCGCTCCTTCCAAAACCAGCTTCATTTCACATAGATCTCGGCAGTCTCGGGCTAATTGAGTGGGACCGCCGATCGAATGAATTCATCAGAAATCACTCGATATAACAACTGGCCTAACGGGATAGTTCCCATGCCGTACTCCTCCGCCCACCCCGCCGGGATTGCCTCTCGACGAGCGGGGTTGGGCGAAACGGCCCGTACTATTTCCGTCCCGTCCTGGGTGTGCGCCCTGCGCGCTGCACAAAGGGCGCTGCTGGCACTGCAGGTGCTGCATGCGGTGGTGCATAACCACCAGATGCAGGTGCAACAGGTGGAAAGCTCGGCCCTGTATTGGCGGCAATTCCTGGAGTTGTCGGGGTCCCCGTTGGTGGCGGTGCCAGGGGAGGATTCATCGTGCCAGCAACTCCATGGGTAGCAGTGCCCCCTGCTGGATGGGTTCCAGTTGCAGTAGGTCCCACAGGAACCCCAGGAGCTGCAACACTCGGCCCCACAGGAACTCCAGTTGATGCCACACCCGGTCCCACAGGAGCTGTGGTTGGTGCAATCGGAGCAGCAGTCACAACATTCAACTGCGTCAACGCAGTCACCATCCTGTCTACTGCCGATTCGATGCCTTTCAGATACTGCAGTGATTGTTCATGCTGCGAGCGTCTTTCTTGCTTGATCTCGTCCAACCTCCTGTTTCCTGTATTGATCTTGTCGTTCAAATCACGACAAAGCTCTTTCAGCGTTGGATTGACTTGGGATTTGTTCCCAGTCACCTGCCAGCTGATATTGTTCATGGCCGTCGAGTGCTGTTGCATCGATGCTAGGAAGTACTTGGCGGACACTTGGTCCACTCCTAACTGAATGCAGAGAGCATCTATTTCCTTCTTGGCCTGTTGCAAACTCTCATTGGTACTGTCCAAAGTGGACGTCGAGGCGGTGAGGCCAATCACAACGTCTTTCACAACCTTCACCAATCCATGAATTTCCTTACGAAGTCGGCTCTTCTTTGCCGGCGGCTCATCACCAGTTTCAGCTGCACGTTTGTCGGCTGGATTCGCAGCTTCCTCATCTGAGCTCGGCAAACTTGCCGCTTCATCACGAGGAGACGGCTTCGGCGAGGCTTTTGGAGATGCAACACCTTCCACGTGCGTGGGTGTTGCTCCAGGCACTCCATAGGGCACGGCTTCTCCAGTTCCCGGCGCCCTTGAGCTATTTGCCGTCGCATTTGCGGCATCCGGAGTTTCAGCCACCGTATCGACCTTTGGAACCTCCGTCGAGGTGTCAACGTGACTGCCCATCTTCCAAAGAGAGTGAAACGGACGGCAAAACGAAAAGCAGGTGATCTTAGATCCAGAATGCTATTGGCAACTGTGCTAGATTACAAACAATAAAACACGGCTCCCAGCATTACCTAGACAGACAGCTTTTCGTACGGCTTCACTTTACTTACCAAAAATGAAAAACCAAACAACATGTTCCAAAACAAAAACAAAACTTGAGGTTTGGAAAACTGGTGTTTCACTGGTTTTCGTTTCCGTCGTTTTGTTTCAAAACGTGTCGTGACATGACATGCAAACGAAAAACTTCCAACAACTGCAACCTGAGTGTCAACATGTTGCGCACCATGTGCACTACAGAAATTACAGTCAGACAGCGAAAAGTCCGAAACGAGTTCACATCACCTCACTAGTCAACATCGTCCAACAATGTTCACCAGTCGCCCATGACAAAGACTGACCAAAGAACCGAGACGGAAAAGGACAGGACACTGCCACGGAAAACAGAAAAACTCCAGCAAACCATCCAGACGGGACAACAGAAGTACTCAAGGTCCACATCCGCCGATTCGCGACAAAAGAACAGTACAAAGTGAAAACTGTAGGAAGGTACAAAGACCTTCAGTAGGAGCAAACTGGATTCCAGGCGTTCACCTGCGATTCCAACGTCTATCGAATTCAAAACCTTAGTAAAATGCCGTTGAGTCACAAG